ATTTATAATATTTTATCGTTTATAATTATATATTTATAATTTAAAATGGTGTGAAATGGTGAAGCAATGTAGTTGGTGAAAAGGATGCACAGTCCTAGGGTCTGATTCTGCAAGCTCTTTTTCATTACTTATGAGAAGAGTTCAACTGACTTTAAGGCATTATTAAGGTGAAGAAAAAGAAAGAAAGAAAATCAGGTTTAAACACACAAAAGCAAAAATAATCATATCTTAGATTCCTGATCAGACCCCTCCACTATGCACATATTTGTTTTTGCATGAATCAGCTATTGTATATTTACTGTAACTGCCTTCTGTGTAACTTTGTATTACACATGGTCATGGATTTCCTTTAATGAGGGTTCTAGATTTCAAGTGTTTTAGACAATTATTCTAAATGGTCAGTGGAGAAACACTTACTTTCCCCCCACACAGCGTAATTATGATTTATGTCATATTGAGTATTTCTGCACACATGCTTCCTTTGGTTCTCTTTAAATATGCTATGGGTTCAAACTTACTCCCACTGAAGTCAACCAGAGTTGTGCCCATTGACTTCAAGGAAGCCGGGTAGGTCTTCTGTGACTCATATAAATAAAAATATTTTGTTTGGGCTGGTTCAAACAACAAGTAGTACAGGTAATGTCTCAGGCCAATACACCAACAACATATACAAAATGCCCAACATTCAAATTTAAGGCTAAGGGTCATAGTCCACGTTAACTAGGCTGGCCATAATTTATGTATAACTTGTGCTGTTGGAGAAATAGGATAAACTTGCTCATGGGAACAATTTGTTTGTTTCTCTCTTTTTTTTCATAAGATGTCCACCTCATTTGACTTATCTTCATTGTTTTCTTGTGTAGTGCCTATGGCTCTTTTTTAACCATGGGATCAAGACAGGAAAATGCCATACTGGAGTAAGTCAGGCAAAGGACTTCATTTATGCATCTTTCTTGATAAGCTTTGAGGAAATGATTACTTGGGGCATGCTCATATAATCCTAATGGAAGCAAAACAGCAACTGAAGTCAATAGAAACATTGCCTACATTAAGACTTCAGGAGATGTGCTTTGTATACCATACAAATTGGGAAAGAACAATGCTCTAAGGTTCAAACTGCCAATATCTAGTCACAAAAGGATCTGGTTAGAAATGGATATAAAAAGATACATAACTATCTAAAAAGATGTTTTTGTTCAGTAATTCTCATCCAACATTTATGCTGGTAAAATGCAAGCCATAAGTGATACAGTAATTACAGTTTTTCACCATGGTATTCACTGACTAAAGAAAATTCATAAAATAGGTCATTTATTGGATATCAAAATGCTGGACAATTAAATCCAACTAAGTAATCTAGATAAATATTAACATTTTCTAGTCTAACTAGTCTTTTTTCTAGTCTTACCAGTTAATTCATGCACATTTTCTTTATGCAATGAGAACAAAGAGGCACATTCTAAAAAACTAGCTAATAGAGCTGGCCAAAAAAATGAGGAAAACTTGTGAAAATAATCATGAAAATGGTCAGACTAATTAACGGTCAGAGTGATTAACCAGTAGAACAATTTACCCAGGGTTCTGATGGATTCTCCATCACTGCCAGTTTTAAGATCAAGGTTGGATATTTTTCTAAAATATATGCTCTAGGAATTATTTTAGGGAAGTTCTATGGCCTGTGTTATACAGCAGATCAGACTAGATGGTCACAGTGGTCCCTTCTGGTCTTGGAGTCAAAGAATCAATGACAAAACATTTCTTTTTTTTCAAACTTTTAAACAGTTCTACTAGCTAATCATTTTTATCACAACATTATTGATACTTTTTAAGAGATTAGTACTGTAGTTCTAACTCTGGAAAAGGAAGGTAATGTGAGTCTTGCCAGAGTAAGTACTGCAGGATTAGACCTTTTTTAATAAATCCAGGTATGTTTTCTTCTAACATTGGTTAAAGGAATTGTCTAGAATTGTCCAAGCAATAATTTAGCATAGGAAAATGTGGTCTGAATATCAGGAAAATTTTTCTAACTGTGAAATTTATTAGACTGTGAAATAGTCATCCAATGGAAATTTTGGAAGACTCATCACTTGACAAAGCATTAAAGAATGTACTGTAAAGAGCAATCCTGCATTGGCGGGGGATATGGATAAGATGACCTAATAGTTCTTTTGCATATCTCATTTATATTATAGCATATCTCATGCTAAGATTCTATGATTCATTATATCCTCCATGGCAAGTGAAAAAATGTGCCACAAAGATAAAGGGCCAGATTTTGCCACCCTTACTCAAGTTGAGTAGTATCTTACTCCTCAATTAATGGAACTACTCAAGGAGTAAAGCGCTACTTAATGTGAGTAAAGGTAGCAGAACTTGGCCCAAAATAAAGCCAAATTCAACCTTGGCATAAATCAAATGACACCCAAGAAGAATTTGATCCATCTATCTTCCTAAAGTAAAACTGTTTAACTACCAGGATTTGGCTAAGAATGGCATATTATTATGGGAAATAGTAAATAATAATCAGTGACTATTCATGTGATGCCATGTTAATAGTATAAATTTTTAGCAAAGTGACTATGCAGAAAAAGTATGTATAACTTTGGGTTTTAATAAAATACAAATTTCAAGTACTGTTAATACTGGCAGTAAGAGACTAAAGAAGGCACAACAGTAGGGCTGAGAAAGAATGAAGTTTATTAGCAACTACTTATTGTTTAGAATTATCACATTTTAAACTTCCTAGTGTTTTTCATCTAAGTGATAGTCACTAGCTGCTGCACAGAGAATTTTCTCTATTTGCATCTAAGCCATGAGATATTGATTTGAAAATTTCTCTGGCCCCAGTGGTTTATTCAGCCTCTATATTGCATTTAACTCGTTGGTGTTTCCAGTCTACCATTTACAGCACTACAGGCAGAAAAAAAGACTGTTAATAAAAACAGCCTTGCCAGCTGGAATTCCAAACTACAGCTCAATGGTTACTGCAGAGGACCTTGCTTTTTTCCTGCAATCCTGAAACACAACATTCTTTTCAGTTAATGTGATTTTGTCATACTATTCAATACAACATTCAATAAAACCATTGCGGGCCTACATCCCATATGCACATGACTGCGCAAATAATTGCTTCTGCAAAAGCCTTGCAAAGCTTCCCAGAAATTCCCTTTTTCGCCTACAGGTGCTACCAGTATGGTACACATAGTTCATATCCTAAACTGCAAGCTCCTTGGGTAAGGGTCCTTGTCTTCTTGTCTCTCTGAAAAGTACCATAAATACTTATGGTGCCTTAAGAACATAAGAATGCTGGGTCAGACCAATGATCCATCTAACCCAGTATCCTATCTTCCAGCAATGGCTGGTGCTGAATGCTTCAGTTGGAATGGACAACGCATGGCAATTATTGAGTGATCTATCCCCAGCTTCTGGCAGTCAGAGGCTGAGGTACACCCAGAGCATGGGGTTGCATCCCTGACCATCTTGGCTAATAGCCACTGATGACCTATCCTTCATGAACTTATCTAATTATTTTTTGGACCACAATATAATTTTGGCCTTCATAACATCCCCTGGCAATGAGTTTCACATGTTGACTGTGTGCCCCATGAAGAAGTACTTCCTCATGTTTGTTTTAAAGCTGCTGCCTATTAATTTTAATTAGATGACCCCTCCTTCTTGTGTTATGTGAAGGGATCAACAACACTTCTTTATTCACTTTCTCCAAACCATTCATGATTTTATAGACCTCTGACATAACCTCCTCTTAGTTTTCTCTTTTTTCAAGCTGAACAGTACCAGTCTTTTTAACCTCTCCTCATAAGGAAGGTTTTCCATACCCCTAAACATTTTTGTTGCCCTTCTCTGTACCTCTTTCAATTCTAATACATCTTTTTTTAAATGGGGCAACCAGAACTGCATGCAGTATTCAAGGTGTGGATGTACCATGGATTTATAGAGTGGCATTATGATATTAACTCTCTTATCTATCCCTTTCCTACAGGTAACACGGGTAATAATAACAGTTTGTTTGTATAGACAAGCTTTGACACCTGTGATGCATTCTGCAATAAAATAAATAATATTGCATTGCTTGAAAAGAGTTCACTTCCCAAGTCCCAAATTCCTCTAGACAAATAGACTCACACCTACACAATTGCCTGATCTAACCTAACTATCCTATTTTAAATGTGCCCACCATCCTGGTTATCTAGGTTTTAAGTAAGTAGGGAGTGTGCATGGGGCGGGGTTCAATCTGTAGTATGTTCATCTCTGTGATTGGTATCCATATAATCTATATCTACATCTATTTTTATATCTAGATATAACTATGTAGTTGATTTTAATTTTTGTTTGGTTGGTTTTTATTGTTTTTGTACAGAAAATAAGAAAATTATCATTATGAAGAACAGAAGAATAACAAAATAAAAAGGAGCTTCAAATATACTGGTGTCAAGCATATGTCGGACTCTGGTAGGAAAGGTAGAAATTAGGGGATTTCAGAGGAACCCTCTGGGAGTGAAATTTCTCTTTTCATAGTAATGTGACTGACAAGTTGCAGGTTGCATGGAATGAATCCACTAGAAATTTCCATTCTGCTTGAGTATGGGAACCTTCACTACTATACGGCCAAGGGTAGGGCAAGTACACAGACCATAGATTTGACCCTAAAACGCGCTGAGCCCCCTGGGAGGTTGCGGGGTTTTTTTGGCTATCCTCGCAGGGGAAACCAAAGCGCAGACTTGGCTCTGCCAGTAAATGGAAGTGGGACTCGCGACTTACACTTTAACCAGCGGGCTCCTGCGTGGGTGTCTTTCTCTTGGATCAGCGTCCTCTGCGTGTAGCTCCTGAAGATGTACCACAGCATCCAGAGCAGCTGGATGAGCATGATGGTGATGAGATAGGAGAGCAGCTCCTGCTTGCTGATGCCCACGGCATGCACAGCCCAGGCGAACATGAGCAGCAGCCCGGCTAGGAACAAGTTGATGCCGTATTGGCTGCTCAGGATCTCAGCGTTTTTCTGCGGGCAGCTGCTTCCCACCAAGCGGCTGCCTCCAGGCTGCCCTGGGGGCCCCTGCGCCGACTTCTCCATCTCCCACTCCTCCGGCTGCCGGCTGCTTGGGTAAGGCTGCGGCTGGTCCGGGCACCCCTCGCGGCTCTTCTTCCCCGCAGAGCTGGAGGTGGTGTCTGCATTATCTTCCACCATCGCGGCCACCCGCCAAGCGCCCTGAGACCGGCTGGGGGTGGCCGAGCTCCTCAGCGGGACTCGGGTGGGGAAGAAACGGGGGGTGACAGACAAGGCCCCGCAGCAGGGACCCCCCTACTCGCTGTGTAACAGTGAGGAGGCGGGGGGGGGGCAGCGAGCAGGGTCACTTCGCCGCCTCTGTTAGCGCTCACAGAGACCGCTCAGCTCCACTGCCAGCCTGCTGCCTCCTTCCCTTCCTCCCCCTGCCTGTCCCTTCTCCTGCCCGGGTCACCTCCCTGCTCCCTGCCGGGCTGGGCTGGGCTCAGTGGCCTCAAAGTTCCTCCCTCCTTCCCCGCGGGTTTGCAGGGGCTGCGTGCTCAAGCAGCAACGCGCCTCACTCGCCCGGCTCTCGCTCCCTCGCCTTCGCAGCGCAGGGAACCCGAGCCGGGTTCTTATAGAGCCGGCCGGCCGGCGCGGCTGGGGCAGGTCCCGCTGGCACTGCCGCCGGGTTGGCGCGGGAGGGGATTGGATGTCAGCCGCCCACCGCCCTGGGGGGGGGTAGTGACCTCTGGGCAGCTCACGAGCGTCAGCCAGCCCCTGGGCCCCGTTCCCTCCTTCTGTCCCTGCCCCGGGTGCGAGCGCCGCGAGCAGGGGGGGGGGTCTAGGTATCCGGTGCGGGAGCGGGCTGTGGGGTGGGGTGGGGTGCGCCTGTTGGAGGAGTGTGTGGGAGGAGGTGGGTATGGCGGGTCTGTGTGCCGCGCCTCAGCAGGGGTGAGACGGGTGACGGACGTCGGGCGATGCACACGGAGGGGGGTGATTTCGGAGGGCCTGCAAGGCAGCTGGAGAAGGCTGCACGTCGGGCCGCTGAAGCGGGGCGTCGGGGAGTGCGGCGCGCCTGTTAGGGTGGAGGGCTGAGCTGTGTGTCGGGGCTGGAAGAGGGGCAGGGTGTTTGGCGGTGGGGAGCCGGGTAGTGTAGCGGTAGCGGTGGGACCGGAGGGGCAAAGGACGCAAGCGGTGGCTGGAGCGGTTTCCTTGTCGGGGTGTGTAATGGAGAGGTGCAGGGATTCGAGTGCGGGCGGGTTGTCAGCGTGTAGGGGCCCGGGCTGTGCGGTGGAGCTGTAGGAGCAGGGTGTGTGGAGCGTGCTGGTAGGAGTGGGAGGTGTTGGTCGCCTTAACTGTGGAGGGGATGGGTAAGAGAGGTGAAGGGGTTCCCCCGTGTAGGGGCCTGAAGAAGGGGTGGTTTGTCAGTGCTGAAAGCGGGCGAGAGTGGATTGTTTCTCGGTGTTTGGGTGGGGAGTCTGTAGCGGAGGTGTGGGACTGAGGTGGGCGGTTTGTGGGTGCCTAGAGTAGGGGCGCCTGACATGAAGTGGAGAGGTGTGATGTGCTTTGAGGAAAGGGAAAAGGAAGAGAGAGAATAATCAGCGCAGAAAAATCCATTAGCTAATTTATCTTTCCCAGGGGAGCTTTGTGGAAGGGATCCACAAATAATGACAAAGAGCTAAGCCACGTGGTATCAAGAGAGAGAGATAGAATGTCAGTGTTTCCTAGACAGATTCCTGAAAGGCATATGGAGTCTGGGATCCGGAGGGGGGAATTAATAACAGGTAATTCAATTCCATCTCACTCAGGTGGAAATGTGGTAATTGCCATGATCTGGGACTTTCATTCCCTCTCATCTTATTTTGGCAGGTATTACTTCATCTGGCTATAAAACACTTTTCTTTTCAAGCAGCATCTCTGTTACCCAAGGGAGTACAATCTAGTAAGGAGCTAAGAGTCACGACTTCTAGGCATTGCTGTGTGACATAGGCAAGTCACATACTGTATAGCCTGATCCTATAATGTGCTGAGCAGCTGGGAAGTGCTGAGACTCCCTCAGTTTCCGTTAAAGACAGGACAACCAAGGGCACTGCAGAACTGGTCACTGAACCCTCTGTACCTTAATAACAGGAGTGTTGTGGTGCTTGACTAATTAACATTTGTAAAGTACTCTGAGATCCTTCAGTGAAATGGTTACATATGTGGTATTATAATGTTTGCTTGGTAGAGAATGCCAAACTCAGGGTTTCAAAACAGGTTTAGTTATAACCTCCTATTTTTGCTTATACAAGACATAAATAAATAAGTAAATAAGTAAATAAATAAAAGATAGATTTAAAAACACCCTCTATTTGGACTGAAATTGCCCATCCTTGCTAAATAATTTCCATTTAAAAAAACAGATGCAGTTTTTTCCAGTTAGGGTAGACTGGAAAAGACGGGGGGGGGGGTATTCTAAAAAAATAATGTCACACTTTCATCACTCTATACCTACTCCCACCACCACCCCCCAGAAGCAAACTGTAGCTCACCCACACTCTTTGTGACATACAAACACACATGTTTTATTTGCTTAGCATGAAAGATATAGGGACACAATTTGCATAAGCGAGCCTATAAATGTCTCATTGAATCACATGCAGTAAAATCCTCCAAATCCACCACCTTAACAGCCAGAGCCAGAAAGTGGATGTGATGCTCTGTACCTCAGGGGAACACCCTACACCCCCATGTTCATCTTTATAAAATGACTGTGTGGTATCCAATGCCAAGTTTGTCATGTTGGGTGTCTTTGGAAGGCTCATAATGCACTGAGCATGGCTGTTATAGTGATGTTATAGTACAGTAACGTTATAAGTCATAATTTCATGTATATAATTATGAGGCTGAAAATGTATCCTCATGGCTTAAAGCAAGCCCATGAACAAAACTCTCCAAGAACAGAGAGGCAGTTCACACCTCATCAGGGCATGGTTGGGACAAACCCAGCCCAGCCTCACAGGAACTATGGACACTGGCTTAGGCAGCAACAAAAGAATCTGTTAGACCCTTGAGCAAGTCACCCCCTTCCTTTGGTCAGTTTGAGACTGTGATGAGGTAACGTTCACCTGACTCTAAAAGGGGAGGGGAGCAAAGCCAAGAGGAAAGAAAGGACATGATAAAAGGGAGAGACATTTTGCCATGCTCTTTCTCTTCCTCTTACATCTACAGACACCACCACCACCACCAAGCAACTGAAGCTCTTATCAAAGGGGAGAGCCTGACTGAAAAGCAATCAGCCAGTCTGTGGTGAGAAGCATCTAAGTTTTTAAAGACACTGAAAGTGTTAAGATCAGCTTAGAATGCATTTTGCTTTTATTTCATTTGACCAAATCTGACTTGTTATACTTTGACTTATAATCACTTAAAATCATAGAATATCAGGGTTGGACGGGACCTTAGGAGGTCATCTAGTCCAACCCCCTGCTCAAAGCAGGTCCAATCCCCAACTAAATCATCCCAGCCAGGGCTCTATCAAGCCTGACCTTAAAAACCTCTAAGAAAAGAGATTCTACGATCTCCCCAGGTAATGCATTCCAATGCTTCACCACCCTCCTCGTGAAAAAGTTTTTCCTAATATCCAACCTAAATCTCCCCCACTGCAACTATAGCACTCCTTGTTCTGTCATCTACTACCACTGAGAACAGTCTAGATCCATCCTCTTTGGAACCCCCTTTCAGGTAATTGAAAGCAGCTATCAAATCCCCCCTCATTCTTCTCCTCTGCAGACTAAATAATCCCAGTTCCCTCAGCCTCTCCTCATAAACCACGTGCTCCAGCCCCCTAATTTGTTGCCCTCCGCTGGACTCTTTCCAATTTTTCCACATCTTTCTTGTAGTGTGGGGCCCAAAACTGGACACAGTACTCCAGATGAGGCCTCACCAATGCCGAATAGAGGGAAACAATCACATCCCTCGATCTGCTGGCAATGCTCCTGCTTATACAGACCAAAATGCAATTAGCCATCTTGGCAACAAGGGCACATTGTTGATTCATATCCAGCTTCTTGTCCACTGTAACCCCTAGGTCCTTTTCTGCAGAACTGCTGCCTAGCCACTCAGCCCCTAGTCTGTAGCAGTGCATGGGATTCTTCTGCCCTAAGTGCAGGACTCTGCACTTGTCCTTCTTGAACCTCATCAGATTTCTTTTGGACCAATCCTCTAATTTGTCTAGATTCCTCTGTATGCTATCCCTACCCTCCAGCATATCTACCACTCCTCCCAGTTTGGTGTCATCTGCAAATTTGCTGAGGGTGCAATCCACGCCATCCTCCAGATTATTAATGAAGATATTGAACATAACCGACCCCAGGACCGACCCTTGGGTATTCTGCTTGATACCAGCTGCCAACTAGACATGGAGCCATTGATCACTACCTGTTGAGCCCGATGATCTAGCAAGCTTTCTATCCACCTTATAGTCCATTCATCCAGCCCATACTTCTTTAACTTGCTGGCAAGAATACTGTGGGAGACTGTGTCAAAAGCTTTGCTAAAGTCAAGGAATAAGATGTCCACAGCTTTCCCCTCATCCACAGAGCCAAATATCTCGTCATAGAAGGCAATTAGGTTCGTCAGGCATGACCTGCTCTTGGTGAATCCATGCTGACTGTTCCTGATCACTTTCCTCTCCTCTAAGTGCTTCAGAATTGTTTCCTGGAGGACCTGCTCCACGATTTTTCCAAGGACTGAGGTGAGGCTGATCGGCCTGTAGTTCCCCGGATCCTTCTTCTTCCCCTTTTTAAAGATGGGCACTATATTAGCCTTTTTCCAGTCATCTGGGACCTCCCCCAATCGCCATGAGTTTTCAAAGATAATGGCCAATGGCTCTGCAATCACATCCGCCAATTCATTTAGAACCCTCGGATGCAGCGCATCTAGCCCCATGGACTTGTGCTCATCCAGGTTTTCTAAATAGTCCTGAACCACTTCTTTCTCCACAGAAGGCTGGTCACCTCCTCCCCATACTGTGCTGCCCAATGCAGTAGTCTGGGAGCTGACCTTGTTCATGAAGACAGAAGCAAAAAAAGCATTGAATACATTAGCTTTTTCCACATCCTCTGTCACTAGGTTGCCTCCTCCATGCAGTAAGGGGCCCACACTTTCCTAGACCTTCTTCTTGTTGCTAACATACCTGAAGAAACCCTTCTTGTTACTCTTAACATCTCTTGCTAGCTGCAACACCAACTGTGATTTGGCCTTCCTGATTCACTCCTGCATGCCTGAGCAATATTTTTATACTCCTCCCTGGTCATTTGTCCAATCTTCCACTTCTTATAAGCTTCTTTTTTGTGTTTAAGATCAGCAAGGATTTCACTGTTAAGCCAAGCTGGTCGCCTGCCATATTTAGTATTCTTTCTACGCATCGGGATGGTTTGTTCCTGCATCCTCAATAAGGGTTCTTTAAAATACAGCCAGCTCTCCTGGACTCCTTTCCCCCTCATGTTATTCTCCCAGGGGTTCCTGCCCATCAATTCCCTGAGGGAGTCAAAGTCTGCTTTTCTGAAGTCCAGGGTCCGTATTCTGCTGCTCTCATCTCTTCCTTGTGTCAGGATCCTGAACTCCACCAGGTCATGGTTACTGCCTCCCAGGTTCCCATCCACTTTTGCTTCCCTTACTAATTCTTTCCTGTTTGTGAGCATCAGGTCAAGAGCAGCTCTGCCCCCTAGTGGGTTCCTCCAGCACTTGCACCAGGAAATTGTCCCCTATACTTTCCAAAAACTTCCTGGATTGTCTGTGCACTGCTGTCATGCTCTCCCTGAAGATATCGGGGTGATTGAAGTCCCCCATGAGAACCAGGGCCTGTGATCTAGTAACTTCTGTTAGTTGCCTGAAAAAAGCCTCGTACACCTCATCCCCCTGGTCTGTTGGTCTGTAGAAGACTCCCACCATGACATCTACATTTATAGTTAATAAATCTGTTTGTTTATTCTACCTGAAGCAGTTTGGTTTGAAGTGTATCAGAGGCTCCCCTTGGAATAACAAGCCTGGTACATATCAATCTCTTTGTTAAATTAACGAATTTATCTAAGCTTGCCACACCCAGCGAGCATAACTGGACACTGCAAGACAGAGGTTCCTAGGGTTGTTTCTGGGAACGGAGATATTGGCTCGTGTCATTTGCTTGCAAGTAGCTGTGAGCAGCTGACATGCCAGAGGCTGTGCACAGCCAAGGAGTGGGGGTTCTCACAGCAGAGCAGGGTAAGGCTGGCTCCCAGAGCCAAGAATTGGTGTGGCCTAGCAGATCACCGGTCCAGAAGGGAACGTCACAGTGGATATCAGATTTTTTTAGTTTCATCAAAATTACTGCTGCATTCTGCAACACTCTTACATTTTATTAAGAATGTATATATATATATATATATATTAGGTGCCAAAATATAGCCTTCACAGAATCAAATACATTGCTTCCTTGTTAACTCATCTTTGGAGAAATTTTTTTGCAGCTAAGGAATAGCAAGTCAAATCTTCAGGCTTGGTGCCTGACTTTTTAAATGCTTAGTTACTGATTTGGGCCCTACCATTAGTATAAGGGCCCTACCATCAATCAAATGTCAGCCCCGCTCCTTGACCCCTTAAGCCCTGCCCACCTGTTGCTGGAAGTCCTGCCCTGGGGGCATTATTTCCAGGGTGAAGCCGGACACATGACTGGAAGCAAGGTGTGTCATGTGACCCCTCTAAGAGCTCCTACCACTGCCCTCTACCAATCAGGATGGGTTTCACCCCTGTAGGACCATCCTGATAGGAGATTTGACTAATTGGGGGGGAGTTTCGGGGCTAGGTGACCTGTCCGGAAGTGGGTAGTGTGACCTCTCTAACAGCTCCTCCCTCCGCCCTCTACCAATCAGAGCACAGCACCGTCACCACATAAGTCCCAGTGCCGGGCAGAAGAAGCCGTCTCTTACCAAGAATGTGTGTTTTAGAAATCGTGGAAAGGCTGAGAGGAAACATGGACTCCTTCACCACCCCCATGAGAACTTCAGACTTTGTTTTAGCCCTACTAGCCTTCGACCATTGCCGGAGAAAGCGCTACATCAGCAACAGTTTCGAGGAGGAGTAGGGAGCGGCTAAGGGGAGCCCTTTGGCCCAGCCCTTGATGGATATGCTGGAACCCAAACCCAAAATCCAACTGCTCGTGAGACACCCTGACGAGCGTGGTGGCCTCTCGTCGTCAACCCGCCTGGAGGAGGAAGGCAAACACAACTTGGGGGAGTCACCGGCAGACAAGGTGAAAGGAAAAGATGTCGCTCAGGTAAATGAACGATTTAGAAGTAACATTAGAGGATTTGTGTGTGTGTGTGCGTATATGTGTAATGGGGTTAGGAACCAAGGTTGTGTAAATCTAAAAACAAGCAGAGGGAACTTACACTTGTTTCTTTTCTGAAACTGTCTCGACAGCTCAATGATGCCTTGCTTGAGGACCCGGAGGCCCTGAACAGCATTGCATCAAGCAGCGAAGATGAACCGGGCCTGCCTTTTTTTTGTTCAACGCTGATATAAATTGTTGAAGAGAACTCCAAGGATGATAACTATGAGGAGTTTAGGAGGAGGCTTGGCATGAAACTAACTGAGCCAGTGCCATGTCAAGAGCGTAAAAAAGTCATGCGGACTATTGTACACGTTGCTGTTTATGCTGTCCTTAATCACTGTCTTAGGGAAAAGCTTTCAGAAGATTGTGAGGGCTGTGTCATAGATGCGCCAGGCCAGCAGCACCATGACTGTGTGACTTGGACTTCAGTGGATATAAACTGCAAGCTCTGGGGCCTGTGTGCTGAGCTGTGTATGGAAAGCTTATTAAACACTCTTATTGCCATAGCTTATGCTATGCAATGTCTGTGCTTAACTCAAGAATATTTAGCGCATGGGATGACCTTGATAAATGCTGTGCAATTCAGTGGAGACCCTGACCGTGTTTTAAAGAAAATGACCAAACTGGAAGATGCCTGCTTACAGCGTTATATTGATTGTCTGGTCCACGCAAAAAGTTACAGAACCCTGCTTAAGAAAAAGACTATTTGTAAGAAATCTAAAAGGATTAAGTTAGAGAATGGTGAGGGGACAAACATGCAATATAAAACTTGGTAGCTGTAAATAAAAAAAAATCTATTGAAAAGGGCTTTGTGACTATCTGTGTTTCTGTTAGGTCTCTGTGGCCCTTAAGTGAGCTAAAAGTTTTAACGGAGCATCTTGGTGTGTTTTCAAGGAGCTGTACGTCTTTTAAATTAAAAAAAAATTGTTTGTGAGAACCTAGCTCTTGCGTCTTTGTGTAAAATAGACCCATTTACAGCAAAAAGCTAAAATGTATGTTGTAGAATCTTGGGGGGGGGGCCCTAAAAATGTGTTTACAATTTAAAAAAAATACAGGGATGGTTCAGACATGCGTTTGAGTACAATAGAGCTGACCCATCCTGTTGAACTGTATGGTTTTAATCACACCCCCACTGAATAGCCAGGGTGACTGAAAATACCCACCCTTGTTTCCCTCAGGGTTAATCGTATTAATGATCAGTAACTAAATCTGATGGGTGTCCACCCACAGTAAGGGAGGTGGGTGGGTGAGGATGGTGTGTTCTGATTAATATGAAATGAAATAAAACCTCAGGAGTTTGCAGATGCTATTGAACAGTTTAAATATAACCCCTGGATTTGGTAGAACCACTCCTGATTGATAGAGGGCAGTGTGAGGAGTTATTAGAGGGGTCACACGACCCACTTCCGGACGGGTGACCCTGCCCCACACCTTTTTCCTAGGCTGGCCACCTATCTGGAATGCAGCGTAAGATTGACCTTACCAAGGTCAAACTGGTTTTTCAAAACAGAATACAAAATGGTAGTCAACACACAAAATGGAAGACAGGGTACAAAATGGACGTTATAATTTGTTCAGAGATATCCCACACGGTCACAGTCCCCATTCTTGTATGCATTATTGAAACCTGCTTAGCCATTCTTGGCCAGTTTGATTCCAGCTGGGTATTTGGTCCAGCATGAACCAAAGGGGAATCACCAGAGAGATGAGGTGGCTATGCATTTTGCAACCATTCTGAAGTACAGGGAGTCTTCAACCACAAGACTTTATCAAATACACTGTGTTCATTTAGCATGTGAGTCCCTTTGTGGTGTTAAATCAGGATTAGATTTAGTCTACTGATTCCCACACGGCACTGCAAAGTCCCTGCCTGAGCTGATGAAGTGTACACACTGCAGTGGCATTGGAAACGACAAGGCTGATAGTGCTTGGTGACTCCAACATCTGGGTGGATGGTGAATCCTTAGAATCAGCTCCAGATTTCATGGCCACCATAATAACCAGGCTATTGCCTTGATGATTTAGCTAGACCAACCATAATCTCATTTTAAGGCCAGGGTGCACATACACTGACATGGCAAAGTACTTCAGAGATGGTAGTTTCTTCTGATAGGTCACTCTATCCAGAGTTTGCTAGGATTTTATAATAATCTTCTATCTTCAGTTCTTGATAGGAGGCACCCTATGCACTTTCTTAGTTAACTTTGCTCTCACAAAGCCTTTTTAGTTTGACAAAGCTGGTGGAAGTAAATACATTGCTGTAGCCTGTCATATCCATCTGTTGTCTGATTTAGACAGTAATCTCTTTGGGGTAGAAACTATCTTTTTGTTGTGTTTGCACAGCACCTAGCACAATTGAGTCCTAATCCTGCATAAACACATGAATGTTGACCACTGAAGGAGTGGGCTTCCACTTGCGTCTACATTTGTGGCAGACCTCTCCTATGTCACTATGCAACTTGCTGTCAGATATATCCGAGCCAACAATTTGTAGCAGATAACCGTCAGCAAATATGTAAGTGCTGTGTGTTATTAAACGCTTACAGACTCCTGTGTATAGGCAATGGTAGACAATGAAACATTCAAGATAGTTACACCACCATTTGCCTTTGAAAACTTCTCATTTGTGGCTTCTTACAAGAACTGATTTAATAGGATGAGAAGTTTCTTCAACACAGCAACGTATATACCAATTTGTCTTAATATTTACTATTGATGCTGCACTACCTACAGACTTTAGCATCTTGTCTGCTTTACATCCTAGGTACTTTTTGCAGCACATCAACCTTTTTCCTTCATCTGGTGACAACTCTCTTCTATATAGGACCCAACAGCCTAAGGGACATCTTTGTTATTAATGATTATGCTTGATAATCCTTCCTAGAGCATGAGACCACTATCATGCTGACTAATATTTGTCTCGTTTCCATGTACTCATTTTGTATCCATATCTTGTCTTGTATTTAGCCCTGAACTACATTACACAGTTAGGTCAACACAACGCAGCTTGGTTGACCTAACTCTGTAAGTGTCTACACTACAATTTTGCTCCCAGTGACATAACTCACCCACTACGCTGACGTAATAACTCCATCTCCCGGAGAGGTTGAAGTAGTTAGGTCAATGCAGTGTCAGTGTAGATATTGTGTTGCTTACATCAACTGTTGCTGGCTTTCAAAATCCATCCTATAATGTCCCACGCTGACAATTCAATCTGTGCAAGTGCTTCTGGTGAGGACATGCACCACCAATACAAGGAGCAAAGTGAAGACATGCTCAAGTGATGTAATTACTGTGACGGCTGTATGCCAATGTAAGTTAGGTTGACTTAATTTTCTAATGTCCTTAGATTGTAAACTGTTTGGGACAGGGGCAGTCTTTTTGTTGTCTGTATAGTGCCTAGCAGAAGCGAGGGCAAACTTTTTGGCCTGAGGGCCGCATCAGGTTTCTGAAATTGTATGGAGGGCCGGTTAGGGAAGGCTGTGCCTCCCCAAACAGCCAGGCATGGCCTGGCCCCTGCCCCCTATCCAACCCCCCCCCAACTTCTCGCCCCCTGATGGCACCCCGGTGACCCCTGCCCCACCCCACCCCACTCTCTGACCCCTGACTGCCTCTGGACCTCCTGCCCCATCCAACCCCCCTCTTCTTCCTGACTGCCCCCCCAGACCCCTGCCCCATCCAACCACCCCTTCTCCCTGACCACCCCCAGACACCTCACCCCTAACTGCCCCCCACTGCCCCATCCAACCCCCCCTCCTTCCTGCCGGCCCCCCCCCAGGACCCCTGCTCCCATTCAACCCTCCTGTTTCCCGCCCTCTGACCGCCCCGACCCCTATCCACACCTCCAGCCCCTGACCCCCCCCGAACTCCCCTTCCCTCTATCCATCCCACCCCCCACCCCCACACCGCGCTGCCTGGAGCACCAGTGGCTGGCGGCAGGGCTGCACCAAGACAGGCAGCCACACCACACAGCACAGAGCACCGGGTCAGGCCGCGGCTCTGCAGGAGCTGCCCAGGAGCTCCTAGGTGCTACATTAATACAAATAACAATGTTATGGGTTCCTTCTGCCTGGCTGTTATAGGCATCTGCGCTTCTCTTCATTTTGCAACACTTGTGCTGTAGCTGGGTTCACTTTAACCAGGAGCTTTTATTTTGCAAAATAGTACCAAAATATTCCTTGGAGCAGGTTCCTGAGGGAGATGCACATCAAAGTCAAAGTGGGGAAACTGTGGGTGTGTACCATGCAATTTTTTTCAGTCAACAATAGCTGCCACTGGGTGTGCCAATGACTGTGGCAGTCGGAGTACAACACTGGAATTGGCAGTATGGTAAGGATTGTACATAGCCTACCATCCTTGTACTGCCTCGTGTGTGTTGGCATTCACTTATACTAAGACCACACATGGCTGCCATGCTGTGCTCATGTGCCCATGCTGTTTTGCAAATGGGTGGCTTAAGTCACAGATCCACAAGCTCTGGTCTATGTCCTAGCCTGTAACCTGTCCCTTGGGAGAGACCCCTTTAATGTTCTCCGGCCAAGGACCCACAGGAGCAGTTCCATGGCTTCCAAGACTCCGATACTGGGCCTTCAGGCATGAGTAATCTCAGTGTCTCTCCATGGCTCCCTGCAGTGAATCCAGTCAAGTCACACTCATGTGGGAGAGACATGTACTTCAGGGTACAATGCTTTCAGTATTTGAAGTAACACCAGGCAGCTTCTTCAAAACAAGGTAACAATTTATTAATGGCCTAGAGATTCTGAAAGTCCTTAGGTCAGCAGAGAGAGGCAAAGGGTGCCCTTGAGCCATGCTGCTCTCAAAGTCATCTTGGCTCATTCTCCGTCTCTGACCCTTTGTCCTTAGTCTGAGGTGAGAGCTGCTGAGTATCTTCCAACAGCCAACTCTTAACCCACCATTGACCCATGCTGAGTTCACATGTTCCACCTGCTGGAGATTCCCATGGATAAGTATCAACAGTTCAATTCTTGGGGGCTTCCGTTATCTTGGTGGATCTTCCATGTTGATATGGGTCAGTTTCAGCCAATCCTTTAACAACCCATTAATTCCACCTCAAATAGTTACGTGACACAATACCTCATGTCTCCTGCTCAGCCCCAAGTCAGCTTAACTCTTTTGCACCCACTGGGTAGCATTGCAAAGTACAGAGGGAAACTGAGGCACACAGACATCATAGAAATATTACAGAAATTTCCCACATTGTCAGAGGTTACCAGATGGAACATTGCATCATTACTTGATGAAGGGTCAATATTTGAGGAATTCAGAAGCAATATTTACATGTAAAATGAATACAAATCAAAGATTTGCTACATCCCTGATTAAATAACACCTGTATTTGGAAAATACAAGCAGTCATTACTCAAGAAATACACTTAGAAATGTTTCTTCTTGATGCTGACAATGAAATGGTAAGAAAAGACTGAGCAGCTGGCAGTATGCTTAACCCACCATTGACCCATGCTGAGTTCACATGTTCCACCTGTTGGAGATTCCCATGGATAAGTGTCAATTGCTTAATCCTTGGGGGTTTCCATTATCTTGGTGGATCTTCCACATTGGTATGGGTCAGTTTCAGCCAGTCCTTTAACAACCCATTAATTCCACCTCAGATAGTTATGTGACACAATACCTCATGTCTCCTGCTCTGCTCCAAGTCAGCTTAACTCTTTTGCACCCACTGGGTAGCACTGCAAAGTGCAGAGGGAAACTGAGGCACACAGACATCATAGAAATATTACAGAAATTTCCCACATCATCAGAGGTTATCAGGTGGAACATTGCATCATTACTTGATGAAGGGTCAATATTTGAGGAATTCAAAAGCAATATTTACATGTAAAATGAATA